GCTATAAATGATTGAAGATTAAAATTTATTCAAAAAATAAAAATATCCAAAATTTCGAATATTTGAACAGAAATACTTACAGCACCGTTTGACATTATCCATTATTAATTATGACTCACTGCTTTGGCAAAAGTTCTCATTTGAAACATGACCAGAACAAGCATCGATCAAGAAGCTATGACTATAGAGGAAGGGATAGGCATCACTCGAGAAGTCACAGTTATAGGAGAGATGAATGTCAATCAAAAAGCAGAAGAAATAAAGATAAATATCTTTCTATTGAAGCGTACTAACCATAACCCGTAAGTTATATCAATGTTTATTTTTCGATTCATCTATATAGTATACTAAATGATTATCTACAAGATGGTATCAGCATAAGCTTTCATCGCCTGACTCCTCAGAATCAGATAGGAAATATAAAAAATTACCTAAAACTACTGACCAAAAAAAAAACAATGAAGAGAAAGTGGCAGAAAAAGGTATAATTTAATTGATATGCATATTTACATGAATTGATGTGTTACAATCGGGATATGTAGGTTTGTTTACAACCTTTTCAGATTCGGTCGATTTACCTTTATGAGATGTTGAAATTCTTGATATGTTCAAAGAGTTCGTAAAAAACTAAAATGAAAGAACCGGAATCAGAAGATATTTTTCCTCTATGCTTACCCAAAATAACTTAGGAGAATAATGACTTATCAGATATAAATAGTGACCATGATAGTATACAAAGCCATTATTTACAGTCAGCTTCTAGAGAAAGAACTAGTTCTCCACGGCTAGTTTCTAAGAAAATAAATGAAAGATCTAAAAGCTCTAATTCTTTAAGATTTGATTCAAGATGTTCTAGTCCTGATCAGGATGAAGATATTAGAATGCCCTGGTATCTAAAATCGATAGACCTACCTGACGATCTCTGGAAAGCCTTAAGGATAAGTGAATTTTCATTACTTTCACTTTATTTATATACGTTATAATGCACTAATGGTATAACTTTTATATTTAGCGTCAAGTTTTTTGGATAAGACGACAGTTAAAGGAAGAACTTGAACAAGCTTTAGATTATTTATCTTTTAGAAATTATCATTATTCAGCACATATACTCAATCTAGCAGTTAAACAAGAGATGGAGATTATTAATGAAGATATTCGAATTATACGAACATTGATGATAAAAATCAAGAATTCCGTTTTATTATGTGATGATTTGCGTGAATTATGTGTTGTAGAAAAACTTGAGTATTTATGGCTGGAAATAGATATTGAAACAAAGTGGAATTCTATCTACTATATGCTTCATAAGTTTCAACGAATGGAAACGGCATTAAAAATGCTTGCAATTAAGCATAGAAGTTTATATAATTTAATGTCAGATACCACCACATATACTAAAATAAAGGTAAAATATATGTATTAGTAAATTTTTTTTAAATTATAAAACTAAACATTTTTTAATTATAATAAATAGGAAATACTTATCATTTTAGAACCTATCGAAAAAGCAACTAAGATTCTCTCAGGTTCGATGTATCCAACTGTAGCCGATATACGATTTTATTTTAATGAAATTCGGGACCATTTAAAATATTGTATAGAAATGGAAAATTTCGATCAATATATGCTGGCTGCTTCAATTAATCAAAAACTTGAAGACTATTGGATGATTATTGATGATGCAACTACTATTGCATCCATATTGGACCTCCGAAATAAACTCTCTCTTTTTAAATTAGGTGAACCAACAACAAAGGCAATTAATACCTTACAAGACCAACTTTCTTTATATTCTGCTCAACAATTACAATCTCAAATTTCCTCTCAAGAAAATTTTACATCATTGCAAGATTACTTTCGCCAATTAAAGAAACGTCATTTAAGAATTCAAGCAACACAAGATTTAACTAGTTCTAATTCCAATTTTGCAGAATTAGAACGATACTTGGCTTTACCACAAGATGAAAATGTGGATCCGCTTCTTTGGTGGCGGGCCCATTCTGGTGAATTTCTAACACTTTCATTGATTGCTAGGGATTATCTAGCAATACAAGTAATGAGTGTAGCTTGTAAACAAGCTTTTTCTATTATAGGCAATACCATTAGCAAGCCTTAAAATCGATTACATCCAGAAACCGTAAGGACGTCATTATGTACAAAAAGTTGGATTGATAATAAAATTGGTGAGCAAATTAGAAGGAAACAATAGTAATAGTTAGTAAATATATTAAATAGTATATATAAAAAAAAATCTTACCTTTTTGCAAAAAAAAAAGAAAATATTCTTAGTGGAAGAAAAAGACGAAATATAAAATATTTGCGATTGCGGTTTATATATATTCATTCATATTCGTGTTAGTAATAAATTTCTAATGATTCATGTCTTCTGATTCATAAATTGTGTAACTATAATATGAT